TACAGGATCTATATGACAACCTGAAGCTAATGCATTAATTTTAAATATAGCGCTTATTCAAATGCTCAAAATTGCTGTACAATTTTGTGCATTATTCATTCATTCCATGTTTAAGCTGCTCTGGAAATGTGGCTGCCAACAATCACGCACTGACATTCATGCCAAGAAGAAGAAGAAGAAGTGTCTTGCTTATGGACACAATGACTAGAGCCCCCACTGCCCCACTGTGGCGCCTGGTATTCCCAGCAGTCTCCCATCTATACTTCCAAGATCAAATAAGATCAGACCATGACAAAATAGTATGGACACACTCACACAAAATCTATAGATCTTTAACTACAGAACTTAATAACATTTTGAGTAATTCATAGACACGGTTTTAAAGGTGAACTCCACGTGTCAGTACCAAGCTCCAATAAATGTAAAACATTATGCTAGGAAAGAGCTACAAAATATAATTTTCATAGATGGTGCCTACAGAAGAGAATGGCATGCAGTAGAATAATAATGACACCATTGTTTTGCTAAGAAAAATAGAGTGAATGTAGCTGAATGGCTCCTTGACAATGCAAAGTGAAGGCAATAGCTTACACATGCAAAAATAGAATTGTGGGGAAATCGCATGCATGTCTATCCAATGGCCCGTAAAGACACATATACAATGATTGCATGGATACGTGATTGGTTTGCATTTAGAACTAATTTGTCTCCGGTCATAAGATCACAACCTGGGGCATATGTTTTTTATCTGCAATCATGTTAAGACATCTGATGCCCTTTCTGCTCCTAAAGCCTCCACTTTGAAGGAGATCTCTTTGAGTGCTCTGTCTAAATGAGCCAACACTGAGTAATGCATGAGAAGATGTAATGAAGTAGATTTATGGCCAGTGATGGCAGGATTACAGAAGGTCTTTACGAGTGCTGATCCGGGTAATGGTTTGTGTCAGTCCAACATTTCAGTGCCTTTGTCATATTCACCTCATAAACAACGCAAGTAATATGTTTTGAGGGGTACTTGGTACAACTTTACGAGCAAAACAAAAAAGTGGGAATGTTTTGTGTCAATGTGCATACAAGTTACACGTCAACATCTCAACTCAAGCGTGCAAGCAGAGTGGCAGATGGCATAATGCAATGCTACAGGAATCAGATTGGATCAAGCTCAAGTTTTAAAGTCCTAAAGTAGGGCTGCACAATATATGACAAAAGTATCAATAATAGCACTGGCTGATGCAATAAACTATATTGCACCAACACCAAGGTTTATAAAAAAAATGCAAATTTTATTGATTATTTAAAGTCTTAAATAAGCCTTGATTTAATTTTGGTTTCATCTACTACCAAAGCTCAAAAGTTTGGACTCACCCTCTCATTCAATGTTATTTTATATTTATATATATATATATATATATATATATATATATATATATATATATATATATATATATATTTTTTTTATTTTTTTTACGTTCTACATTTGATATACATACAGAATATACATAAAGAAGACATCAAATATATGAAGTAAATAACTACTAATTAAAAATATATAAATTTTATGACCAAATCCTCCACATTTTGCTTAATAACCCATATTTTGCTTTGTCAAAAAAATGTTATAACTTTTTTCTTTAGCAAATAATTCCATATATCTTGCTTCATATATTTGATGTTTTCTGTATGTATCTAAAATGTGCAAAGTAGTAAACATATATATTAAAAAAACATTGAATAAGAGGGTGAGTCCAAACTTTCCACTGGAAGTATATGTTAATTTTGTATTCTACATATTTAAGTTTCAATATAACTGAAATTATTGTGTCAAAAAGTACACAAGTAATATCGCTACTAAAGAGCCATAGCTCATATCTCGTCCAATATTGTGCAGTCCTATACCAGCATAATGACAAAGTAGCCTCAGATCTCTTCTTCTAGTAATCTGTTATGATGCATTCTTACAAAAATCCACTGAAAACCATTAATTTCCATGCACATCTACTAAATATTAGATTCAGCAGCCTTTCTTCAGTTCTCCACGTACACTGCGTTTTCAAGTGGAGAAGACTAAAAATACCAGTCAGTAATCTCAGTGGGAAAATGAGGTGTTTAATAAATCTGTTGAACTACTTCCCCCTGACAAGCTACAATTATAAGAGCAAGGAAAACACTTCAGCTATTCACTGCTCGGACAGGGAAACATTTAACATGATCCAGGGAGCCGTAGCTGTCAAAGTCTGACATAATGGCACACAAATGCAATTGACGATAGACATTTAGTTTTGATGTGTTTAGACCTGTGTGTACAAGGACTGCATATTATTGTTTTGGTAACTGCAAAATAAAGATACAGGAGTGAATGTTTGAATGTTTGAATCTATGTCCTAATTGATTTGTATGTCGTGGGGAATACAATATGTTGGCAATTATGTTTACATGTCTAGAGCTACTGATGCTAGATTACCATGCTAAGAAGTTTATGTACTAACATTTTTATTCAGTCAAGTCAGATCATGTGTTTGTACAAGAGATAATTACTTAACAGTTTCCAATAAAGTACAAAGAAAACATTAAAAACATGGTGATATATAGCTCATCCAATCTAGAAGCCATAATGACATCTTTGGAGTGCTGGAATTAATTTAGCATATAAAGCTGAAGTGGTACCAGCGCAGGTGAAGAGTTTATTTTAACATCTGCTGCTGATTTCAGTCCCTCTCTCTCTATGCCTGGAGGTAATGAAGTCCACGCTAAATGGATACTGTAAGATTATTAAACCTTAAAGGAAGAAAAGACCAGATGGCCATAAATATGAAAATAACACAGCCCTGCTTCCATGAAACCATTAAAGTCAATCATTTCTGACTTTTACTTAGAGCTCTCACATGTAAATGTTAGTGCCTGGCTGAAGGGTTGCACTGGAAAAAGACATATTCATTCAAGTGTTTTGCATGAGTGGCTCAACCAAAGTAAGCCATTATACAAATGAGTTGTAGAAGATACAATTATTATCCAAGCATCACGCGATTATTCATATTACTTATATCATAACACAGTGTAGAACTATACATTCATCTTAATGTTCATGCATAACCACCATTCTATCTTAAAGAAGGATCTATTTTTAATAACATTTAAAAAGTCAAAAAGCAGGGCAGTAAAACAGTTAACAAAGACAGTGTTCAGGGGTCATCTGTCACACAGCTGGCCTGACTGTTCTATAAGTGATGTTTTATGTGAACATTATAGACTGTAACATTGTGTCATGCTTCTCTCTGTTTTCATCTTGGTGCCAAAAAGTGGTTAGTGTCATTAGTCATGGCTGCAGCACCTAATTGACTTTGTACCACTCATTTGGATTTTTCTGTAACTTTAAAAGAATCTGTGATGTTTCAAAGTGCCTCTGGGCCAATTCTCTCTCTCTCTCTCTCTCTCTCTCTCTCTCTCTTTTTCTTCACAGTCATTAAAACTGATGTACCAGTACTAGAAAGAGTGACTGTTATATTTGTATAATTTACTTTTTACATTGTAATAAAAAGTTCTTTCTACACTGCAGATCACAAGATTAATTACATTGCATGTAAAATGAAAGGTTATGATCTTCTGTCTGACAAAAAGTACAAAGTGCTGCCTTTTGAATGTTCAAATCAAAATATAGTTCAACTTGAATTAAATGATTATTATTCAGTCCTAAATGTGAAGCCAGTTAAGGGGGTCATGGTGTAGCTTTTATGCTTCTCAGAGTATGCTTATTGAACATCCAAATGAGGCCACTTGTTCATTGCATAAATGGATTGCAATTAGCATGAAATGCATGCTTTTGTATGCTTCCTCTCTATTCCTTTGTATTGTTAGAGACACTAGCTCAGCCTCCCTCCCTCCTTCTCCTTCTCTGCCTACTTTTGCATTATGGCCAATTACTGTTACAGATGGAACATTTCACTTGACCTGGGGAATTTACAAGTAGGAACATATTTATAGTTGATTCAAAGGCAGGCTGTTAACATTCTGCAGGCTGATGAAGACATGATGAAATTGGGCACATATATGACAAGTTGGCCACATGACAAAGAGCTGATGAAACAGGGGAGACAAACCTGGTAACTGTTTCGCCAAGCATCAGATTGCAAGAGCAAACAGGGCTGCTCTGTAGGGCTGAATAATTGGGGAGGGGGGCGGCTGTGTGTTGTGAGGGAGAGAGGGGGTATGGGTGAGGGCTACCATTGTTTAGACTTTAAAAATCAGCACCATGTTGTTGTGTCAATATTCATTGCAAAATAATCATTGCTCATACCAGTTATACAGATCAAGTTGCTGGTGAACCAGACACGACAAAGTTCAAGTGTCAAAGACTAACAATAATTAAGCATGTGTAATTACACATTTATGAATATCCTTAAAGATTACAAATTTGTTGTAAGTTGATGTTTTGAAGCCTAAGGCTCTTGCTTGTTTCAAACGTATATAGTCTTACAACGTGTAGCTAGTATTACAAAAACGAACCTAGTAATAACCTGAGAGAACATGTAAACAAACATACTTATTAAGACAACTAGAAGATAGAATACTGGGGCCAGTGTGACAAATATGTGCGCTATATCAGAGCAGGTATTACTTAGACCTTTGAGTTGATTTTTTTTGTGCGTAATGTGAGCTGATATTTTCTATTGGTTAAATTAAACTAATCGCGTATGAGATATTGTTTCAGAGCAATGCACCCGGCACATTGTCATTACAGCCCACTTTTATCATCTTGTTTATGTTGGTCAGTATCTATGGAACAAACTAGTGAGCAGAATGACTCCGTGCATGTGATGCATCCAAAGCCTAATTACGCTACACACTGCGTGGTGATAACAAAGTTCACTCTAGTTTTAAAGTTTTAATGTAGATTAGCCCGTGCGCATTCTACCTTTTCACTGCAACTTGGGCACCCAACGGGACTTATGGCGCTTTACGAACAATTATTTTCAAAAACTACTCAATTACAAAGTGATTCTTACCTTGTTAAAGTTGTAGTAGCCCAGACAGTGACCAAAATCCAGGTTCGGTGGGTCTCCTGGAATAGAATTTCCCCCGGCAGCGGGATAAAAGCGTACATCCATGTTGAAAGAGTGGCGCGCAGCTGAAGCAGGAGCTACTCTGCACACAGCTCAGTGTGCTTCTGCCGCTGACAATCCACAAACGGAGAAACACGGGCAGTGCACTGACCCGGGCTGCGCTGGGCTAAACGAGCTGCCGCTGCAAGCAGAGCTTAGAGTTCACCTCTCGTATTCCTTCCCCACGTGGGTCAAGTGCTCTGAGTCCGCGGAAGCCTATGAAGGTTGGACAGAGCCCAAGAAGATGCCCATGCATTTACGCACAGCTGCTGTATACAAAGAAGCCACGAGACCGGCGACTGAGCGTGAGTCCTCCTCTTTTTCCTCCCCCTTCCAATTTTATGTTCAGATGCACGATGAAGAAAACACACAAAAGACGATAAAAGATAATCATATGTCCACAAGTGAATCAATTCTCTGCTATGGAACTCACGAATCCTTGGCACAAAACTTTATCAGTCCAACTTACAAACTGCGCGCTTAAGTAGTTGGACAATCTAAAGTGGTCGGTCGAGCCCATGTGCTAACAACGTGGTTTGGAATGACTTAACAAAACAGGGAAAGCAGTATTCCACAGATGAAACTATTATTTATAATTCTGTATACAGCCTGATCATACACCAACTCCGGTCCCAGTTGAGCGCCTGTAGCAGTCGCACTGATGAACAAGGCAAAGCGTGTTAACATGCCAGCCCCTCCCCAAACACACTAAGTCACACCCAAACACAGCAAGCCCCTCCCTCCAAAACACCGCATTTAACTCCATGTGACAGACTCTCAATTCAACACTGTTCTCCCAAGTTGTCACTATAACCATCAACCATTATGTTTTACCAGAGTATAAAATTATAAAGAGTATAAAATTATGAAAATGCCTATTCCTTTCAGGACTAAAATACATGATCCAACTTGCAAATAATAAGCAATTGATTTATTTCAAACAGCTACCACAGACAATTACAGCACTGCTGTTCTTTAAAGTTATTTATAGTCTATAATATGGGAGCAGAGCAGCATGGAAAGGCAGAGCTGCAATGTAATGTCCTTTTTGTTTTTTGTCCATAATATAAACTATAATTCTACAACTCTCCTGTGTACACTTCAAACAGCTTGCAAATAAGCTAACAGAAATGGCAGTGAAAGCAAGAATATTCTTACTTGACGATGGACAGTGGCTGTGATTAGAGTGTTGTGATTAAACCAATGGTCAGTTGTATTCGAGCTCAGGTCAGTGCATGCTGTAGTTGTGTTTTTGGGGACATATTGTATACAGTGTGTGTGAGTTATTTAATTTAATTAGCTGTGGTTAGTGGGATCAAGGGCGCAGATTTGCAACCTTGCTTCCTCTGGTCTACCCCAGGACAGCCGTGGCTTCAAAAGAAACTAACCATCAGTGAGTATGGAGCAACTGAATAATTTAGTAAAGCACTTTGAGTACCTTGAAGAGAACCATCCAAAGCATTGAATATTATATAAAATAAAAAGTAATGAATAAAATAAGATTCTTTCTTTATAACTGAAGTACCCTGCAAATATAACTCCAGCACTTAGCGCAGAAACAAATCAGATTCAGTACATGTTATTGTTCCAATTATGTGCATTTGTGTTTGCTAGATAAGGCTGTTTAAAGCACTTATTGTGGGTTAGTACTGTGCACGTGGGCTGTGTTCTGGCATGCACTACACACACAGTCTAATCAATGACATACAGTGCTTAACTCTTGTGTGCTCTGCCCGGGGAGATAATCCTTGAATTCGCTCGCTTATAGAGATGGTCAACAATCCGCTGGAGTCGCCAAGAAACGCGCTTCGTAACTATGGACGCACTAATGCATATGCAAAACCACTTTGAGTCTTGTTCCTGTTTGATAGTGTTCTTTTGCATGCATAAAAACACACGGCACACACTGATACGCCCACTCAATCAAACGTATTCATGCACCCACAAGCCCCATATGCAACAGCATCAGATAAGCATGTTCAGGCCATGTTATTGGATCTTCTACTGTAGTTTCAATATGGCAGTTGTGTGTTGTGGTCAATGTTGTTTTTTATTTTCACTTAATGCAGTGCACCAGACCAAGCCAAGAAATAGAATTAATTTCCTTTATGATGACGCCGTATCACTGTCTCCAGATGAATTATGCTTTTCTACCATATGTCATTTCCTCTGCAGTCTGAACACTAGACCCATTTGGTTATACGTGCAAAACGAATTATCTTCTGCTTCTGGCTTCAGCTCAATTAAAGGGGTATGGAGTAATTACACCGAGGTACAAAAGAGAAATAAATGCAAAAGTGAATTAGACTAATGCTCTTTATTTACTGAGGGGTCGACTTAATAATAAGTGATTTTGCCCATTTGTAACGCCTATGCGAATTAATGGTAGAACGTCAACAACTTGGTTAAATGTTTGTTATTTAAGTATGTGATAAATGAGGTGTAATCAGGGGTAAATAGACACTGCTTTTACTAAGGCAACATATTTATCTACATGTTGTCACGATACTAACATTTCAAACTCGACTATGACACTAAAGCGTAGACTTGATACTTAATTTCGATACCATGATGATAACAAAAACACTCTTTTCTTAGACAATAGAATGTCATTTTCAACATTAAATCATAGTACCTTGTTTTATATTACATTGTGGCCTTATATCTGTCTAGTCCCTCAGTCTTGCAGGTAGGTTCCATAGTGGCCAATGGCGTAGTCTGTGTGGTCTTGTGCTTGTTTTGATACAATTCAAAATCATTCAATAGCTATTTTGAAAAGGTTTGTGTCTTGTGAATGTGACTTTTTAGTATCAATACTTGCTGAAATGAGTATTTAGTTTTTTGATGCTTTTATTTTTAATTTTTGTATTGAATATACCTAATAGATTGGACTAGAAATGCAACTGTAGCACTTACAGTAAACACAAACAAATGAATAGAACATGTAACATTTGATTTTTTTATTTATTTATTTTTTTTTCCCCAAGTTATGACTTTACTTCTCCACTATATAGACGTGCTTCATAAAATATGTATGGTGAAACAGACATTTGAGATTTCTTGCTCTTGAAATGTACCTGAAGCCTCTGTCAGACTTAGTGAGATGAATAATTATAAACATAAAGGTTGTTTTATAAATAAGTCATTTAAAATGAACATCACTGAACAGCTGTTTACATTATTCAGGCATATTACCTACTTAATTAGCTGTAAATATGGCCACATTCACAAGGAAAAACAACCCCTGAAGCTTGGGTATTTGCAATTTTTATTATGGCATCATTAATGAGTGAAATGGCAAAAAGACTAACATAACCAGGATATAAAGAAAATGCTGTGAAGTTTCATGGCATGTCATTACAATATTGCATGTAAAAAGTTGAAGACTCTGTTGATTGACAGTTAGAATTTTTCCATTAGACTACTATTTCTTTATATAACTAACCAATTCTTTTTAATGAGTAATTGTGTGTGCCTGTAATCCCATTCTCAAACCTCTAATTAGGTAAAATGACAAATCTTGTACAGTGCACTAATGATCTGTTGCGCTGCTTTGTTTTCCAAAGTTTGCAGACAAAAAGGCATACATAATTCATACTATAAAAATGTGCATATTTTAACAATGACTAAAACATGATAGCAAAATATGTGTCTTTTATTGGTTACAGAAAGCAGGCTCCAATTAAAGAAGATCTATTAACATAATGAAAAGAAAAATAATGACAAATAATGCAAAGTTAATGATTTTGTTGCTCACACGCAAAAATATAATTCTTATATTTTAATTAGGAGAGACATTTATCAAATACAGAGTGTTAATAGAAATCTTTTAACATGATATCAGTGCTTGTGAATTTTCAATCTGAAGTCATATTCAGACTCACATCTTTGGATACGTGAACATATCTGCAGTTAAGTAACAAAATATATGTACTAAAGTATGTATTCGGAATAGTAATTTTAAGTAAATGTGTTTGGCACAGTAACTTTTTATTTGGTAGTGTTCATTTTTTAGAATACAGTTTCTTTCCTAATATCAAATTAATACATTGCTGTACACAAGTTAGATTTAAAACTGCATGGTTTTAGTGTGAAAAATTTAAAACACTCTTGCAGTGCATGGATCTCTAATTAGTAGGGGTGTAATGATATCCAAGTCTCACGATACGATATCGTCATCGTATGAACCTCATAGTACGATATTGCAATATCGTGGGAAAGCTCACGATATGGTGGGGAGACTCACGATTAGGAATGTAAGAATATCCAAATCTCTCAGTATGATATTTTCATGATATACATCTCACAGTACGATATATCTTGTAATATTTTGTGGAAGTTCAAAATTTTGAATATGCTACTTGCCTTGACAAGACTTAATCCAAAGAACTAAGACTTAAAAGTGCTTAGAACTGTTATTGCTTCCTGTAGTCTACACTGAAATGGAGCAAAGGATCATGGTCTGTGTAGTTCCCTTTGTCATTTTGTTTTTAGCTATTGCTGCACCATAACTCTTAATTTAAGTGAAGACACTTGTAATTCAATATATTGTGATGATCCATGATATTACTGTGAGAACTTTGACGATACAATATCACAATATTTTGGTTATTGTTACATCCGTACTAATTAGTGACAAATTAATGCAAAAAATGATGTAATCTATTCTTATATCCCATTTTTTATTCAGAACAATACTCTCTCTGATACATTTTATATAATAAATAATTTTAAAGTATTCTTTCCAGCATTGCACATTTTGAGATTTGAACTGTAGTTTGCATGCCTCATTAAAAAAAAAAAAAATCTGATTAATTTGAAATATGAATCATTAAACTTTCAGCCCGAGCAGTCTCATTTGGGGGGTGCATAGTTGGTCTTTTCAGTCAAATCTTACCAGTGCTTCTGAACCTGATTGAAACCCATGCTCAGGCTCACCACACAGAACAGACAGTATGAACTCTCTCTGTACAGTGTGGAAAGCGGCCCCCACAGACCACACACTTGCACAGCTCTGTTCACACTCCACTGTGTTTGCATTTTATGTCAAGCCCCCGGGTGCCATAGCTTTTATTACACTCCATCAGTAATAAGGAGCAGATTAGACAGTAAAGGTACACTCTCCTTCCTTTCTCTGGACATTGATCAACACTATGCACTATCCACTGCTCAGCTCTTAACGTGTACACTGTGTTTTTACTGCTAATTCAAATATACCGATGCAGTGACCTTTTATTCAGGATAATTAAAATTGTTATTCCATAAAAGTTACAGCAATCTGTCATTGGAAAAAAGAAAACATTCATTGCTCACATACATCTTGTCAAATGATGCAATAAAGCGTTTTATGCTTTTATTGAACTGGTGTTTGCAAGATTTTTCGAATTTATTTCTTTTGTATATTTTTTATTATTAATTTGTTATTTTTTGTGGTTTGGTAATGCACTTCACACGTTTCATTGCTGTGGACTGGTAGTATCAAGGCTGCACTCGCCCTCCACATTCATACAAGGTGAAGCAACAGCATGTACTCATCTGAGAGAGAATTCAACTACTGAGTCACAGCTGCCCATTCCAAACTTTCATATTTTTCATATTTTTGT